GACACCCGAAGCACAAAGGAGCTACATGTCGGCACGCTGCCCACAGGCCATCGGCGCCAACCATTTACATTTTATTACACATATACTGTACATAAATCATTTTCTCCAATAATGTAAGAAAAATAAATTCAAGGTTCAAGGTTTTTTAAGGTTTACTTTATGAAAACAAGTCTTTATAGACTACCTTTTGCAATCTTGCTTTTAAATGTATCTTTTTTTAAGTTGGTCTGGAAAAAACTCCAGATGGCATTAGGTGAGAAAGTGCCTGAGCCTGAATCCTTTTATGAATTCCTCCCCACTTCGTCCATACAATTAATGAAAGCTTAATGAAAAATGTACGGAGCCCCTAACGGGACATGGTGACAAAAAAATTAAAAAAAAATAAATAATAATAATAATTATAAAAAAATAAAATAAAATTAGATGGGAGAAAAAATTATGTTTGAATGCTTTTGCATTCAAGTATTGCGTTCTCTTGCAAAATGATTGTGTTCCTCATGCAGAGAAACTTTGCGTTTTGCAAAACCTTTACATTTTGCGAACAAACACAAAGATTCTCTGGGGAAGGCAAAAGTTTTGCAAGCAAATACAAAAGCATTGAATGTTGCATAAAAGCAATATAATTTTTTGAATGTAATGTTTGCTCCCATCTCATTTTACCATCACCTTGACTCAGTAGAATTGTGCAAAACCAGTGTGTGTGTGTGTATTTCCAAAAGAAATAACTACAGTAATCAGAACTAATTCAATGTAGTATGTTATATTTTAACGTGGTGTGCATTGTACATGGTATATTTTTGCAAACAGTGAATGCTGAAAAGCTGTTTTTGAACTGAAGAGTAATTTTTGAAGTACAATGTAGTACAGTGACTTCTTATAAATTCAAATATCAAAGAAAATTTTATTTTTTTATAGAAACTTCTTTTCTGGAGTGTATGATTAATCTCACATGAGTAATATTCAGCTGTTGTAGTTGTTTTTCTAAAGGATCCTTTTAAAAAAAAAGTTTTCTCCTCTTCTGTCAAAAACTAAATATCTATGTCAGCAGTTCTCCTGCTGACACACAAACCATTAAATGCTCTGCGGGACGCTGAGAAAGAGAAAATAAGTTAATGTATGGGCAGCTTTAGTCAACAGAGCAGTCAGTCTGCTTTGTTATAAAAATGGATGACAACACTTGTCAGTCACCCATAGCCAACCAGTGAAAGTGAGTCAGTCAGTTGTGAATTTTATAATGACAAGTCACCTTGGATCCAAACACTGGAATTATTTTCACTTACAGTATGTCATTCACCTCTATTACACTATCGAGGGTCAATTATTCCAGCAAAACAGTCTAAATATATTTTAATTTATATGTGTATTATCACAAAAAGTTTGATAGAGTGAAATATGCATGATTTATTGCCATATCAGCTTAAAAATTATTGTAAAGAACAGTGTAGTAAAGTAAAATGGTGCAAATCAATGTCAATCAAAAAAGGCTTGTTCAGCAATGTTGGCAAAATATATTTAATGCTTTTGGTGGATGAAAGTGATAGATTAACATTTTCTGTGGATCTTGTTTTGGTTTTAAAGGGACAGCTTAAATTTTTTTTAAGTAAATACATATTTTAAGAGGATAGAGAGTCTTCCCTTTATTTAATTTATATAACTAAAAGGCTTGGAAAGACTGTTTGGTTTAAGCATGATGATCACCTGTGTTATGCTTGATTTTATGTAGACATAATATTGTATGTACAGACTATGAATGTAACAGAGTTTTATCTGTTTATTTGAAAAGGTATACATTTGTGTTACATTTGATTTATTTATTATGTTCATTTGTATGTTTAGGATTTCATTATTATTATTATTCATATTTGTGTAATTTAATCATTCATTTTGGTGGAAAGGGTTAATATGGGGGGAAAATGTAATTGTGCAGTTTGGATTAAATAGATTAAATACTGTATATGAATATGTAATGAATTAGATTAATTGCTTTTGCTGGTTTGGCACAGATTTGACTGAACCGCATAATGGTGCTTTAAAGTTCCATTCACAGATAAACTAGACGAAGAGTTAGCTCAAAGACAGGCGGGGAAAGTATTCATGCTTCAGTGCACCTTTTCCAAAGACGTCTTGGCCAAAAGCTCTTTGCATCAACTTGCCAGACAGACAGCTCTCAAGTTCTGCATGTGCGATTGTCAAGTCTTCACATCCAGAAAAATACATTTTTTTTCTACCATCTGTTCTGAGAACTTCAGCCTAATGCGGCCAGACTCCCTTCTAGCAGTTTTTCACCATCAAGAACATACAGCATCAACAGAAGTCTGCATATTAAAGAAGTCTTTTCATAGTGCTCGCTGGCTGTCAATAGAAGTCACATTTCATAGTGGCTGCTATTGAAGTCAGTGTGATTTGTTTTGCATTCTATATAAGCCTACTCATCAGCAGGAGTTAATAGAAGCCATTCAGTCTGAGCTGGGTCATAATGGTAGCCCTGTGGCTCTCACTCTCTCCCACGATTTGCCAGAACCCAGGGTCAGTTATTTAAATAGAGAAGTTCCATTGTTATGATACAGCCCTTTAAAGTGGAGGAAATGTTCCTGATCAGACTGTACTGTATTCTCCTGACAGCAAATCATTTGGGTAATGTAAGTCCGTCCCTCACACACTTTAAAGGACATCAATCTCTGAAAGTTTTGAGACTTTGTGTTGAGCATGGTGATTTATCATCAATGTGGGATGGCATTTTCAGATTTGAGTCCCCTAAGCAATCCATCTGAAAGTTTTTAAACAAGCTGACCTTTAGAAATTACATTCAAATTACATACAATTACATTACATTCGTGATGGAGCTCTGCATATCCAGGTGAATTTCCTTACATATATCAGCATAAAAAAAGCTATATTTTCATGATCCAGTGTTTACTCTTTGAAGTTGATGCAAAGTAAATTGTATTGCCAAATGACTCCTTTATATGTTTATATGAACTTAGTATGAGGATTTCAGGAGCTAGTCAACCAAAAATGTAAATTCTGTGATCATTTATTCTTCCTCATGTTGTTCTAAACTCTTCTGTAAAAAGCACAAAAGAAGATATTTAGAAAAATGTCTGAGCTGAGCTGCATAAAATGGCATTGATTGGGGTGAGGGACTGTCTAGCTTTAAAAAAAAACACACACACAACACACAAAGGTATCATAAAATAACCAAGAAAGTAATCCGTATAACTTACATTTAAAATGACAGGGTGAGTACTGTAAATGTTGGCAGTATTCTCTTCATTTTCAGCGAACTGTTCCTTTAATTTGTACACAGACTTGTGACATTTTGGCCTTACAAGAAACGTCCTTTCATTTACAACATAAATTTATGCATAGAGTTCCAAGCAAGCCAATCAAAATGAGGATTTTCCTTCACACCTACTCTATTTACTTGAATAACTGACAGATTTTTTGTCTGAATCACCTTGTTGGAAGGAAAGAGCACGCCGACGGCAGAGACCAGAAGTCACTTTCACATTTGACTTTCAGAGCCAAATGAATGCTGACTCCTACATTTTCCACCAGGCTATTTGAGCGCTGAACTTTTCAACTTGAAAGCTGTAAGCTGCTTCTGAATAGTTTACGATGTAGGGCTTTGGTATAAACAAACTGCAACCACAGTGCTAGTTGAACTGTTTAACCATGTGTAGTTGTTGTTTTTTTCACTTTGTAAAGCGAGAGTTCACCCAAAAAAGACCATTCTGTCAATGTCATCATTTACTCACCTTTATGTCATTTCAAACCTGTATGAGCTTATTTCTTCTGCAGAGCCCAGTGTTTTTTATTTGTCCATACACTGAATGGGGGGGGGGGATGTCAGTCTGGTTTCTGAGAAATATAAAAAAAACCAAAGGGCATTTGTTGTTGCCAGTTTCTAAGGCAACACGACTGTTTGATTTACCCACATCTTATCATCATTCTCTAAGGAGAGTAATAGCTTATCCTCTGGCTGACTATAGTGAGGCACTCGAAATTTAGTGCACATACAGTATATGACCTACTACAAATCTGAAATGTGATTATAATCTTCATTCATACATGTATATATTTGAAGTTGCCTATTGGCCTTATAATCTCACAGCCCTATGGTTGAGACCACGCATCGACGCATGGCACCAAAACCATTTTTCTGTCTACCACGTCTAAAGTCCATGCACTCAGATCCAGTCCTCAAAGCCGCTTTCTGTTGCTGTAGGGGAAGTGGGGGCTTGTTTTTTGTGTCCAAAGTCATGAAGACCATTTGAAGGCATTTAAATCAATCCTTGCCCCTGAGACAAGACAAGACGCACAACTAATCTACTGTGGGTACCAGTGATGTTTGTTCATATCTAGCTGTAATGTGCCATGTAATGCAGTTTTAGAAAAGTTGTCACCTAACAGCTGTTAAGTAAGAATCAGGGGATTGAGCTATGACAGGCAATTTAAAGTCACATTAAACAGATATTGCCATCATCTTTTCGTCGCTATTGTGATGTATATCCCAGCGAGATAGGAAAATAATGTAGTGCGGGACTTGAATTTGTCCATTATTTCTTTTCTTTTTTTTAAAAGGAAGGAGAGGAAAGCAATACGGGAATTGCCAATTAGATCAATGACATGGTTTTGAAAAGAAACAGATTGTGATTAGAAATGTAGCACTTGTATTTTCTTCTTACTGATGTTGATGTAACAGCCCCGCCTCGTTTCCAGCCTTCGCAATCTCTGTTGGAGGGACTGAGATTGTCCCTCAGAGGATGCTGAAGGTTACCGCTCAGATGCTGCGCTCACACGCTCGCGTTGCTCACACTCCGCTTGGACTCAAACGGATATGGGTTGCTCCTGCTAAGTGCAGTTTAACACCTCCACAAATCCTGGAAAAGCATATTTACATCATGATCACCTTCTTTTGATAGCCAAAATGTAATTTCCTTGTGGAAGTAGTCGCGTTTGCCGGTTTACAGTGGTTGTATCCACCCGTGGAGCTGTAATTGTGACAGAAGAGGAATACAGTTACAGTCGCTCGGATGGACAAGTGCATTCGTTGGAGAAAAGTGGATTTCAATTCTAAGAAACGGGATACTTCCGCTCTTTGGATGAAAGTTGCGGTTTTGAAGGTACAGCACGGCATTTTCTCTCCTTTGTGAACTAGTTATTTCTGCTCGTGAATAATTAGGACGCGTGATAGAGCTGCTAATTAACAGATATTCGCTGATGCCGACACTTTCAGAGAAACTTTATTCCACTGCGTGAGGGAAAACAAGCATCTGTTTTAGACGACTTTGTGTAAACTGCTGGTTGTAATATTTTCCAATTAATTCAGCCGCTTTTCAAAGTGACAAAATAGCTGTATAAATTGCGTACAATGATGTGTGAGCGTGTGTTTGACAGAGAGCGAACGAGAGAGAGAGAGAGAGAGAGAGAGAGAGGCAATAAGAGTGTAACCCATGTCTTTTATTTATATTTTTTCACTAAGCTGAATTTAGAATAGTTTAATTTTAGAGCTTTAGGTCTTACCTTATATTAGAGTATTAGACTTTAACTTGTATCTACATACTGTTTTAATTGCATCTATTATATAGGTCAAACTGCACTAAGTATGCAATTATGTTAATCAAACGTGTATACATACCTGCGTTAAAATCTATCACAATATAAATAGCAAGCAGTGCAAAATATACATATACAGTATAATGGTAAAAACAGGAAATAATGGGGAGAAGAGTGGGACAGTGGGTGGATGATATTCATACATTATACTGTTTATTTGGAGACCCGCAGTACCATAACCATAATGTTAACCCAAACCTTTGCAGCAGATGCAAATCTCAAAGTGTTTCACATAACAGCATGTATGTACACAATAATTACACTGTATCAAATGCTTTACATTTGAATCTAAATAGGACACCCAACATAATGTAAAGTGTGACCTGTGTTTGTTCCTGTAGACAATTTTGTTTCTTTTAATGAACAAAAACAAAACTGGTGCATGGATTGAAGCTTACAGGAAAGACTGTGAGACTTTCTCCTAGGCTTGATTCCGTTGTTAATGTACACATATCTACAGACACGTACACATCCTGAATTGTTTTGATTCAAAATCCCATTACAAAGCCGACAAACAAACACAATCACAAATTACTGATATGAAAAAAAATGAAAAAAAGCATCATTTAGTTGAGCTGTGATGCATATTTTTTCCTCTGTAGGGAGTGTCAACTCTGAGACAGCCTTCATGATCAAAACTGACACTGAGAAGGCTAAAGAGGCAATTATATGGAAAAACCAATAAGTGGTGGTCCCTTTACACAGTGGGTTATATCTGTGGTGATGGAGTTTTGTATGTGTTTTTCTTCCAACAGAATGCATTTTTACTATCATATTGAACTGTTTAAGTGAGGACTATTGCACATTCGTTAATTTACATGGCACATCTGCCGACGAGGCGCTGCTCAAACCCTGAGTGATGTTACATTCGAGGTGTGGCAAGGTTCAAGTGTTCTTTTCCCTTACATATCTTTCAGATTTACATAAGTCATAAGTCAAGGCAGTGTAAAATGACCAAAGTGATGTGTTCAAATGGAATTTGCAACATGGTATAATTTGATATATAGCCAGGCATTTATAAAACTTTGATGGTAAATACATTCCACCCCAAAATGAAAAATCTGTAATCTCTAGGATGTCATTCCAGACCTGTATGACTTTCTTTCATCAGTGGAAGACAAAATAAGTTATTTCAGAAAAAATCATCTCAGTGCTTTTTTCCATGGGGTCCAGTGTTGTTTTGGAACCCATCTACTGCATGGAAAAAAATCTCTTTAAGATTTACCTTGTACCTTCAACCTCAAAGCCATAAGTAATGATCTATTCATGACATACAAAGTAACTTGAGAAGACAAGTAGACCTTTGTTCTGAGTTTGATATCATTTAGATGGCCAGAATGGGTTCATTTGTCACGAAATGCAAATTAATTTAATCCATTTCCACATTAGGGCTATAATAAATTTTGTGCTGAGCTCACATGAATTTTGCGAAATCTGCCAATATGGAACGAAAAACAATTGCTCACTGTGCAGTTTTCTTTTTTCTCAATTTGCAGAGACAGTATATACTACAAGCCCGTTTGTTGTGATATTTTATGAAACGCTCTTACCTCCCCGTGTCCACGTATTATTTAGCTGATACTGCTTATATTTCTGTCTGTTTTCTTGGACATCGCACAAGGGAAACAGTAGGGAGGGAGGAGACTTCTGTCCTAGTTAGTCACATCCAGAGTTCAAACATAGGCTTTTCAGGACAGCTGTGCGAACGATCACCCATAAATAAAGGATAGACTTTACACGGTGTACCATGCAGCGCAAGGCCACGGCCCTGTGCTTTCAAGTGAAAGCTTCTGCTCTGGTGTTCCAATAAGAAATAGATTTTTCATGCCAAAACTTAGTGGCACATGCTGTGCAATCTAGTTGATATTAGATTAGATTAGATTCAACTTTATTGTCATTGCACATGTAAGGTACAAGGCAACGAAATGCAGTTAGCATCTAACCAGAAGTGCAATAAGCAGTAAGTACAGGCTATACAGTGTCTCCAATATGTTACCATCCATTTCCACATTAGGGCTATAATAAATTTTGTGCTGAGCTCACATGAATTTTGCGAAATCTGCCAATATGGAACGAAAAACAATTGCTCACTGTGCAGTTTTCTTTTTTTCTCAATTTGCAGAGACAGTATATACTACAAGCCCGTTTGTTGTGATATTTTATGAAACGCTCTTACCTCCCCGTGTCCACGTATTATTTAGCTGATACTGCTTATATTTCTGTCTGTTTTCTTGGACATCGCACAAGGGAAACAGTAGGGAGGGAGGAGACTTCTGTCCTAGTTAGTCACATCCAGAGTTCAAACATAGGCTTTTCAGGACAGCTGTGCGAACGATCACCCATAAATAAAGGATAGACTTTACACGGTGTACCATGCAGCGCAAGGCCACGGCCCTGTGCTTTCAAGTGAAAGCTTCTGCTCTGGTGTTCCAATAAGAAATAGATTTTTCATGCCAAAACTTAGTGGCACATGCTGTGCAATCTAGTTGATATTAGATTAGATTAGATTCAACTTTATTGTCATTGCACATGTAAGGCACAAGGCAACGAAATGCAGTTAGCATCTAACCAGAAGTGCAATAAGCAGTAAGTACAGGCTATACAGTGTCTCCAATATGTTACAAATGTACTATAAATATACAGATAAGGCAGTACTATGGCCATAATTTACAGATTTTTAAATACTATCAGCATGATATACAGATAGGTGTACTATGAACATACTATACAGATGGATTATGTAATAAGTTTATGTACACTATAAGCAGAAAAGTATGAACATATGAACATCATTTACAAATGAATATGTAAGCGATACATTAAGCTGTACAAAACACAAGTGCAATGGACATTTAAAAAAGTGCATAGAAAATATTCCAGTGTGCAAATGGATCATTCAGTATTCTGGGTGTACAGACAGTAGTGCAAGTAATAACAAGTGTAACAGTTTTTTTATTTATTTATTTATTTATTTTTTGGTAAACCAGATGTAGTGATGAGTAGGGGTATGATAAGACACACATCGGGATACAAAACTTGAGATTAAAAAAAAATTAAATTCTGCATTTCTTTCATAAAAAGTCTCTTGTCTTTGGTTCTAGGGTCTCGGCTTGGCTTCAACCATCTGATGGAAGTCTTCACGGAGTATGCCTATAATGAAAGCTTCTTTGAAAATGGGTCCCGGGGCTTCAATGGCACGGAACAAGGGGGGCGGCACCAGTACAATTATTACGCCATGCTTCTCACGCTGCTCATTTTCGTCATTGTCTTCGGCAATGTGCTGGTGTGTATGGCCGTCTCGAGGGAGAAAGCCCTGCAGACCACTACCAACTACCTGATAGTCAGCCTGGCTGTGGCTGATCTGCTAGTTGCTACACTTGTAATGCCATGGGTGGTTTACCTTGAGGTAGGTATCAGCATCATTGGATACTTTTTTGTTAGGGATGCTAAAATGATTTAACCATAAACCATCTGTGGTTTACATTAATGCAAGGACAGATTATTAAATTATTCTCAGATGATTAGACTGTATAACTCAGAGTCCATCTGGGCAAGAATTAACAAAGAAGAGCTGCAGGCACCATTTTAAACCTCATTCTAGCCAATCAAATTGCAGAAAATCTGATCCTAGCCACGGGTTAGTAGTTATTCTCAACCAAGAGAAGACTTCCTGGTGTATGTCATTGAGCCATACATATTAGCAAAGCTATCAGATATCAAGCAAAATCCATAGGTTTGTAATGTACACGTTGTACATGCAGACCATAGTCCTTGACTCCTGTTCTTTAGAGAATAATGCAAGCAGGTTGATTGTGTGATTTTAAACTGAGCTCTGAACAATGGGTCAAAGGTGACAGTTCATATGCAGCACATCCAATTTACAGCATTATTATAACTCGCTGTATTAAATTAGCCTTTTGATATCTTGTGATGTGTTGTTTTTCTCCTAAAGGGCAGCACTGAGTAACTGCATTCTAAGTCAATAGCTCAGGTCATCATTTATTTTGTTTTGAATCATTTATACGCATGAACAGAACATTAAGAAGAGCTATTGTGAGATGGCTGAAATGTTTATTGGCTAAATAAAGTATGCAATAAAATTGCTGTTGTTGTGTTGCAATATGAAAGTCCTCAATATTATGATTAGGGCCGATGAGATCATTATTCCAAAAGATGATTTCCGTAAACAACTCCAGAATATCTTCAGAACACAAATGAAAATTAGTCATGAAAATAGCCTAATTATACTAGCAAGAAATTACCAATAAAATAAAATGCTTTAGCTTAGCTGCAGGGTTGAGCCAAATTGACAATTTAAGAAATGTTCTCCTTTCAGTTCATTAATATGAATTTTAATATGAACAGTGGGTTGAATTGGAATTGATTCAATGCCTCATTCATCATTCACTCAATCATCACCAACTAATAATGTATGTAACCGGCAAAAAGAGTCACTGTTAAAATCCTTACCACTAACAAGATTCAAGATTTTTTTTCAATTATTCAAATTTAATTCAAAATGTATTTGTCACATGCAGTGAAATGTCAATTTGCATTTTAACATAGTTCATTCATACAGCAGTAACATACATTTCCATCCGTCCATTCTTCACATAGCTTGTCCTCAGAATACATTTCATTCTATTTAAATGCATTTTTTAAAATGCATCCTCAGTTCAGTTCTGAATGCCACACAGCTCTGTTTTATGGTAGCCTGTTTCTGTTACAAAATAAAAAAACAGCTTTTAAAAAAGAAATAATATTGCAAGTTAATGTCTTACAATTCTGACTTTTCTTCTCTGAATTGTGAAAAACAAAGTCCAAATTTTGAGATATAAACACAGAATTGCGAGAAAAAGGTCAGAATTATGAAAAAAGTTGCAATATTTAATCCGTGGTGAAAAGAAGCTTCCATACTGATTAGCTCTATCTATGCGCAGCAATTTAAAACGTTTCTATTTCTCTTCACACTGCATGCTAGTTCTACGGACCTATCTCTCTCTTTCTCTGCCTCTATTAGTGCAAGGACATGTTTTGATCACTAGCGACGCCTGAGAATGATAGCGGTGAGGCTCATTTCATCTGAGTTTAGAGATATGGTGATGAACTGATTCTGGCAACTCACAGCCGCTTTCATTAGAGGTGTCAAATAATTCTTTAATCAATGACAGCGATGCAAACTCCAGAGCCGGGGACCTAAGACCATCAAGAGGTTTCTGAATCCCTCGGCTTGCCTGAGGACACACATTAATCAGAGGCAGCTCAGAAAGCTCTGCCAGCCAACTCAGGAGATGCAAACTGTGAATGAGGCTGACCTGTGCTATATTGTTGTAAATCGACTCCCGCAGACTTGCAGACGAGAAAGACAGACGTTAGCATGAATATTTAAAATCTGAAGATATTAGTAATATGCAATACTTGCCAGAGTGCTTCTGGAAAGTAACTGACTATTGCACATTTGTAAGTAAACAGTGTAGGGTTGCATTCAGATGTATTATTCTACAATTAGCAGAGTGTTTAGTTGTCCATGTCTGTCCTCCCAGGTGGTGGGAGAGTGGCGGTTCAGCACAATCCATTGTGACATCTTTGTCACCCTGGACGTGATGATGTGTACAGCGAGTATACTCAATCTATGTGCCATCAGTATCGACAGGTAGGTGTTTCTGCACTGCCATTATAAGAGCGGTCTAATGCTGACCGAGACCTAATTTGGTTACTCAGCTCAAAAGAGGGACCAGCTCAGCTTCTGTACACCTGAAAATAAACCACATTTGGTGCTGAGGTTGTTGTTATACAGTATATAGATGATGATATAGTCACTTACAATGTCACATGAGCTCAGAATAGTAAGAAATACTTGTGAGATCAATAGCAGTTCATACTAAACATCTCCTCTATTTATATATTACGTAATCAGATACTAGAAGAAAAGACTAGAAAGGATTACAGAGGTCAGGGGAAGCACCGATATGTGGTTCTGTACATCATAGGTCACATGATTACAGGTATATTTGGGAAGTTGTGTGCAGAGCAATGCAGGAATAATGATACAAGTCAAACAAGGCCTGTAAGAAAACAATACATTTTTGTCTTGTATCTCCCACAGGTACACAGCTGTAGCCATGCCTATGTTGTATAACACACGCTACAGCTCCAAGAGGAGAGTCACAGTCATGATTTCTGTCGTCTGGATTCTGTCTTTTGCTGTATCATGTCCACTGCTGTTTGGACTCAATAATACTGGTAAAAATGTGGGGGGGGGATTCACTAACTAGATTGGCAGTCCATCACCATTCAAAAGTTCAGGGTCAGAATAATTTTTATGTATTTATTTTATTTTTTGAAAGGAATGACTACTTCTATTCAGCAAACATGCATTAAATTGTTCAAAAGTGACAGTAAAGACATTTATAATGTTTATATTTATAAGATTTCTATTTCAAATAAATGCTATGCTTTTGAACTTTCTATTAATTAAAGAGTCCTGAAAAAAGTATAATGGTTTCTACAAATATTTTAATCAGTAAAACTGTTTTCAACATTGATAACAATAAAAAGTTTCTTGAGCAGCAAATTCGCATATTAGAAAGATTTCTGAAGGATCATGTGACAATATAGACTGGAGTAATGGCTGCTGAAAATTCAGCATTGCGTCAAAGGAATAAATGACATTTTAAAATATTTTAAAATAGAAAACCATCATGTTAAATTGTAATAATATTTTACAATATTACTGTTTTACTGTATTTCAAACAATTATCAAACAAATGCAGCCTTGCTGAGCATAAGAGACTTCTTTCAAAAAAAAAATCGTACCGACCCCAAATATTTAAACGGCAGTGTACATGTTTTTAGTAGGGCTGTCAATCAATTAAACATTGTAATCTAATAATATTCTGATTAATTATTCAAATTAAATACAATTTATTGCATGCATTTGTGGAGAAATTCCCTTAAATGAAAATAAATGATTGTGGCAGACATAGACATTATGTAAAGAAGCTTTGAAATCCAATACACTGTTTTATATCTATAAGTTCTGATCTACACTCTTAAAAATAAAGGTGCTTCACGATGCCATAGAAGAACCTTTTTGTCTAAATGGTTCCATAAAGAACCTTTAACATCTGAAGAACCTTTCTGTTTCACAAAAGGTTCTTTGTGGTGAAAGAAGGTTCTTCAGATTACAAAAAGGTAAGAAAGAGATGGTTCTTTAAAGAACCTTTGACTGAATGGTTCTTTGTGGAACCAAAGATGGTTCTTCTATGGCATCGCTTGAAGAACCTTTTGAAGCACCTTTATTTTTAAGAGTGTACTGTCCACTTTGGCAAATTTTATATGCATTATTCTGCATGTGAATTAATAACCATAAGGAATATGATAACTCTGTGTAAGTGGATCCCCTTGTCTTAAGCTTGAACAAATAGTTTCTGCTTTGAAATATTATTATGGCACAACATTTGAAAGTTATATTAGAGGAAGTCATTTAATCAGCATTCTTCTGCTTGAATGCTCGTGCTGGGAGGACGGGAGTAAGGGACTTGTGGGCATGCCATGAACAAAACAAATCATAATGTAAGAAACTGTTAACGGAAGTTGAGCGTTATACTCTGCAGTATTAAACACAAGTATTATGTCTGCTGCTGAATTGATACCTTTTTGCTTTCGCTCTGTTAATTTTTGAATATATTGGTATGTATTTAGTAGAGAAGGTTTAGATTTTTTCAGCTTTTTTCATTTTTCAAAAACAAATGTACACATATACAGTGACTTAAATACACTTCTATGATGAGCATGTTTTTTTATTTCTGAATTAATTTAGATTTTTTTTTCCAGGGGGAAAATTCAAAAATTTAGAAATCATAGAAAACCTTATTAAAAATATATTAACTGCTTATTAACTTTTTAATAATTTTGTCCCCTGAGGTCATGTGGTATGACCAACATTCAATAAATAAAACAAACAAACATAAAACAGGAAATGATATCAGAAAGAGGACCCCTGCAGAATATATTTATTTATTTATTGAAAATAAATACTTTTTACTTGGGTATATGCAGTGGTGTAGTGGTGCTTGGAGAAGTGGGTATACTCTTAATTTATGCCCCCATTTTTTTAAGCGGCCCAGCAAAGGATGAACGGCCTGTGCTATAAACAGTGACATGTAAGAGTCAAGACTAATCTTGCATACTTAGTTCACCCCAAAATGGGCCAATAGTATTTCCACATTTTCACTTTCTGTAACTTCTGCTACTTGACTTACTGGAGTAAGGATCATTATGAAATTAATATTAGCCACAAAAGGTGCAGATTTTGCAATAAATAATTAAAATTACATAGACTGCAGCAATTAACATTTAGTCAGAACCTCTAGTAGATAAGCTATTTTGTTTAGTTATCTGTAGGAAAATCATGATCTCTATTTGATACCCCCCCCCAAAAAAAAAATCGTGATCAATTTATCCAGAATTGTGCATCTCTACTCCTATGTTTACAGTCTACCTGACTGTACCCATTCAGAATCTAAAAAACACCTTCAGGCTTCAGCAGCGCCCATTATAAAACAATCGTGCTTTTAAGCCAAATACGCACTGAAAATAATAATTCTAGACCTGACTCAAACCGGTCAGGTTTTCTCTGTAGCTGTTTTGAACTTAGGCTACTGTTTGAAGGCATTCGTTTACTGGATCCTTGGACTGAAAAGTTTACAGGAGTTTACTGGTTTAAAAAATCTGATCACAAAAACATGCTTCTTTTCCTTTTTAAGGTATTGTTTTCATTATAATGTACTGATTCAAATTAGTAGTCAATAATTAAATATTATTTTATCACTCTTCGCGCCTCCCCTGACATGCACACACGCCCCAGACCGACTGCGCTTGCATTCACATGATTTGTTGAGATGCAATTATCAATCAAATTTAAAGGGAAGCCGGCGCATCCTGACTTTACTGGTCTTTACTGAGTATGGGAATATTGGCATTTATTTACATGTGATTTGATTAGCTAGTCATGGTGGACTGTCATGATTTTGGCTAATGCAGGACACTAATGAATAATGCATATCAGAGGGGATTTAGAAGTGGGTATACGCAAAGCCGACTGATAAAGAAGTGGGTATATGCCGTATACCTGCGTATACCACACCACTGGGTATATGACTTGACATTCCATTTATTTATTTTCTTTCTTGAAAATATATATAAAAAATCCAAAACAACATAAAACCAACATCAATACAAAAAATTTGTAAATAACTTTTTAAGAAGTTTTTTTCCCCACTTTCTGTACCATCTACAGTCGTATATGTCATTGACCCAGACATCTATTCTACATGTCACATGGTAGTCAGTAAACTCCATTTTATTTATATAATGCATAATGCATCACTTCATCTAATTTTCACTCTTCTATTGCAGTCACCCATGATGATGCTCTGTGTGTGATCGCAAACCCTGCATTTGTAGTGTACTCCTCCATTGTATCCTTCTACGTTCCCTTCATCATAACACTGCTAGTATACGTGCAGATCTACGTAGTACTGCGAAAGAGACGGAAACGTGTCAACACCAAAAGCACATGCCCAGTTACAGACATGGATATGAGCTCGACTTTAAAGGTGAGAACAGCTGCTTGATGACGAGTTGTTAAAGTTTTTACTTAGTTGGCACTCCACTAGAGTTTAGTGAATTGGGATTGTTAAAAATTGCAGTGTCAATGAATTTCAAACTAATTAATCAGCACTGCAATTCCCATTAGCAGTATATGAGTAATGAGCAGTTGTAAAGTTGGGAATAGCAGCAGAATAAATTCAATATAGCATTATTCAAAGAAACTGATAGCTGACGGCATAAGTAAACATAGCAACTCCTATCAGTGGTTTCTGTCAGTGCTGTGTCTCCTCCAAAGTATTCTGATGTGAAAACAGGCTTAGATCAACATCATGTTTATTTCAGGAGCGCTTTCATTTTGAAGTGCAAAACTCATCCTTATCCTTCTATATAGCAAGTGACTTGTTTTCAAAATGCTGAACTTTTGGCTTTAGATCTGAAATGATCTCCAGAGTCACCACATCTGCATTCAAAACGTATGCTTTGTAGATTGAGAATACAAAGCTTCAGCAATCCTCATGCCGAGCAGCTAATTTAAAACATTAAAGGATTTGGAAACTTTTCCTAGCGCATTACCTATAAACATGATCTATAAGCTGACATTTACAAAAAATATCACTGTGACTGAATGAATTACCAACCTTCCAGTTGCATGTAATAATCTATAATTGCAAATAAATTTAAACCGAACCTAGGACGGGGCAACTAATTCCTTTCTGGTCTAAATCTGTCAAAACAGTCTGGTGTTTTCTCCCATGTGTGTTTCAGAAATGCACCCACCCTGATGATGTGAAACTGTGCACTGTGATCGTCAAGTCCAGTGGGAATTTTCCTGTGAACAGCAAAAACGTGGTACAGCCATATATACAAAATAATATCTAAATAAGGACATAGTAGTTTACTTAAAGTATGATGTAAAGTTCACTTTAAGAAAACTTACAAGTATACAGTGCTGTGAAAAGGTTTTTGCCCCCTTCCTGTTTTTTTTATTTTTTGCATATTTGTCACACTTAAAAGATTCAGATCATCAAACTAATTTTAATATTACACAAAGATAATGCAAGTAAATTAAAAAAATGCAGTTTTTAAATTATGATTTCTTTTATTAAGAGCTAATTTAAAACATTAAAGGATTTGGAAACTTTTCCTAGCGCATTACCTATAAACATGATCTATAAGCTGACATTTACAAAAAATATCACTGTGACTGAATGAATTACCAACCTTCCAGTTGCATGTAATAATCTATAATTGCAAATAAATTTAAACCGAACCTAGGACGGGGCAACTAATTCCTTTCTGGTCTAAATCTGTCAAAACAGTCTGGTGTTTTCTCCCATGTGTGTTTCAGAAATGCACCCACCCTGATGATGTGAAACTGTGCACTGTGATCGTCAAGTCCAGTGGGAATTTTCCTGTGAACAGCAAAAACGTGGTACAGCCAATTTCACTTTTCCTTTCCAAATATCGCTCTTGACAAGATTTTTGAGCTTCTAATTTTTTGTCAAATGCACCAGAAGTAATAACAACAGATGACATCCCTTACGAAAAAGAAGTTTATTCAAGTGTGCTAATAGTATACGTCTTTTAAACTAAAAAAATAGTAAAGTATACTTTCAGTCTACTTTTTATGTACTTCTCAGAAATGTGCTTTATGTACTTCTCAGAAATATACTTAAAATGACATTTAAGTATACTTGACTTAAACTTATATATATGTTTATATATAATTAAATATATTTGAGCTATACTTGTGCTTTGGGAATCCATGTTTTCATTGTTATAAATTTCCAAAACACAAGCGAAGAAGAAACCAAAACAACACATGCTTCCACGTGTAATCTAACACAATCAGACATAAAACAGCATCAAAACTGTGTAACGTTATGGAATAAAATGTCGACCCATGAAGAGATAATGACTGTCAGGCTTTGGGGTGTTGATCGACTCCATCTACGTTTTGATTATCACTCTGAATCCAATTCATAGTCTTTTTTTTTAGCTTTTTGTTAAAATGTTTTATTTAATTATTTTTGGTTTATGAAACTTACCCACATTCAAGTGTTTATAAAAAGAATGCATGAAGCTAGAATAATTTTTTTTTGTTTGCACTTGCAGTATAAAACTACTAAACTAGTAGTTTACAGAGACTATACTTCAGAGTGTACTAAAAATGCTAAAAGTATTTATTTAGTAAACTATCAGCATATCTATAAGTTCACTTTTAGTATAGTCACAGTACAAACTAAAAACATATATGTAATCTAGCTTTGTACTCAAAGTTTACTACTGTTATACTTAAAGTATACTTAAAAGTATAATTTTATATAATAGAAAGTGGGCCAATTTAGTCTCAAGGAGTACTGAAATAGTACACTTACAAGTATAGTTCACTGATATTTGTATACTTACATAAAGGATACTTAAAAATATACTTGAACTTTACTTAAGTATACTTAATAAAATAAACTTGAAGTATACTTCTTTTTGGTAAGGGATTTGAGAAATGATAAATGATAAATGTTAAATGTTAACCTCTGCATCCAGTGTATACTTCATAGAAATATATATTGGCTGAAACAATACACTTGAACTGTTTGATAGAGTAAACCAATTTTTGTAGTGAATTAATTTATTTTTATTATCAATCACTTATAATTATAGAGCACTACTGTCACAAATTCGGTCCATGGACTTCTGTTTATTCACCACCAGAGGTCACCCTTTCCATTACATTGACTCTCGCACAATCGCAAACACACAATCATGACACCATACCCCATTTTTATAGCATCACATAACTAACTAAAAGCAAAGTTATTAGAAACGAACACTTGAACATACAAGTGACAGCACCCATCTTTGAGAATTTAATTTGAAGTGTAATTAGATTTTTTAGTTTGGCTCTCAGCCAATGGTGTGACTTTGGAGGCAGGACTATCTGTTTGCCTGACCAATAACAGGTGGAGTATTCAGTTTGATTATTTGCAGTTTCGTTTGGTGATGCTAATGGTGTGAAAATTACACATTTCAGCTATAACAATACAATGTTTGATTTCATTTAACTGAATATTGTTCAGTATGTGCATATGTACCCATGAATAAAACATTTTATATAGGTTTTCAACTCTAGAGTAGTTTTCTAACATTGCCCACCCAAGCCTGAATTATTACCTCTGCGTGCTTTATTTTCAGGTGTATTTATCATCTGCTGGCTGCCGTTCTTCATCACGCACATTGTGAACACTTACTGCCAAGTCCCTCCTGAACTTTACACTGCCTTTACGTGGTTGGGCTATGTGAACAGTGCTGTAAATCCCATCATATACACCACTTTCAACATAGAGTTTCGCAAAGCTTTCATTAAGATTTTACACTGTTGAGAGAGAACTCACTTCCCCGGAGCTGAAGGGATAGAAATGATACCTCATCTGCAGTGGACATACTGTAAGACTTTATATAAAGAATCTAAATTGGATCCCATGTGGACTATGGCCTGGGGGCTACATCTCTTGCATTTCACTGAGATTAAAACTAAATGAATGTATATACATTTTCTGTAATGTATTATAAAAATGATTTTGTTCCAAGATCATATCGCCCAAAAAAGAAAAGAAAATCCTGGGGGATATGGGGCTTAAAGAAGTATCATTAGCAGACAAAAACGCTTGTTTTGACTAATATTTCAAGCAATGCCTTTGCTTATCTGTTTGTTGGTATTATTTTTTCTTGATTTTGATTATTTGCTCAAAACCTAAATGTAACAGCATTTTAAATCATAATAGTACATACTGTGATATAAACAGATGCTTCATAATAAGCAATAGGCCATGCATTGCATGGAAGTTGGATTTTTTTTTTTTAAAGCTCATTTATGCCAGTCATGTCTGCAATGTTATGTCCAACGTTTATAATGTTTGTTAGATGTTCTCAGCAACTAACAGCAGGCAGAAACCTTAAATAATACATTCAGCAAAATCAAACTGTAATCAACTGTAATTTCTGTATGAATATCAAAACATTTGTGCCTCATTTAAAGCAGAGTGAATTTAACATTTAAAAAAGCAAAGAAAATAAATTGTATTTCATTAAATTGCTAGGTACATTTTCAAGCAAAATAACCTTGACCTTCATTTGTCAGCCTTCCCGATGGAAGCATTAACCATTTCAGCTCCTTGTTTAGGCCTTAAGGAGGTAAAGATAATACTGATGGAGTGAAAAGGGAGGATAAGGATAAACTGCATGCAGTCCCTGAGGAGTGGTTTGTGGATAGACAAAAGCATCAGCCAAGCGTGCAAAAATGTTTCAGGAAAATGAGTGTACATTTAATTTAAGGTTTCTTTTTATTGTTTATTGTTTATATACGTAGCTTTTCATGCTTTATATGACACACTTTGAATGTGATGGGCCTGCTGTTGCATTGTAATGCATGTTCTCATGAGATGTATGTTGCACAATGATATAAGCTTATGAATAAAATAATTGTGCACTGGTGATTTGCTGACAGATGTGTTTAGTGATACGAAGCTACAATATCTGCTATCTGATATCTGTATTTTGGTTTGGAGACCCCTGCTGTAAACCTTGTAAGAACTCTAGGGACAGACTTTCCTGCAAACTTTATGGAGCAAAAGAACACTGCAGCCACAAAAAGAAGTTCCTCTCCAGCCTGAGAGTTAACTTAACTGATGTGGCACAGAATGTTTGATATGAATGCATGTTCTGTGGACAACACAATGACATTAGCCCCATGGCAACCATCTGTGGACAAAGCTGATGATCAACACTGCTTTTTGCTGGCTATGCCTAACTGCAAGCTACTGCAGACACCACCATACTGCTGAACTCTTGGCTACACCAACTTTGTGTAGTTTAGACATACATTTTCTTCTCAGAATCCATATAAGAATTAAAAATCCCAGGAAACAATGTATAAGGATAGTTCACACAAAAATGAAAATTCTCATCATTTACTCACCTTCATGCTGTCCCAGATACATATGATTTTTTTCTTCAGATGAACACAAAGTTTATGGGAAAATAATACATCTCTGTGAAACCATATAATGCAAGAGTATGGGACTACAAAGTTGAAGCTTCAAAAACCACACAGAGTGAACATGACAGTAACATGACGACAAATCAATGTCTTCTAATGATAAATGATAGGTGTGTGAGAAAAATACTAATGATATAAACCTTTTAAACTATCCCTGCGCTCCCAATGTTCATACTATCCATCCTAAATAGTATGTGAGATTAGAATAAGTGCGTCCCAAAGTATATATGTTGAAAAGAGTATGCCAAAAGTCCCCGGATGGTCTACTATTTCAGGTCGATTTTTGAATCCGTGCACACCAAGCGGCAACCTTCTGGTCTCTCTTGTCTCCCGCCTCTTTGCCCATTTTCGATTATCCAAGAGTGACGCGCTGTCAAGATGGCGACGGCCCACTCCGCCCACTTTAGGCTTCAAAAATGCTCTTCAGAAACCTATGGGTGATGGTGCACACTCTAATGGCTAATATTACCCACAATCCATTGCGCTTTGATGAATGATTCGGTTGAGAACTACAAAAGCATTAAAAAAAACTACAAACATGGTGGATGCGTGTGACCTACGGTTAAGTAGAGAGGTTTAGATTAAGGGTTTTGAGTTACTAATAATCAACATTTAACCTGGTAAAAAAATATATTTATTTAATGTTATCTGTGTTATATTTCATCTGCAACAGCAATGTAAACTTTTATAATCATCCATTTGTTCGTTAATTTTAAATGCATAATTTCTCCACATGAAGACACACGGCTCGCAGATCAACTTGCTACTTCTTTTCTCTCCGATATGGTAGGAAGTTAAATGAAATAAAATGTGGAGGATGTTAACTGTGACAAGATGATTGACAGGCCAGTACAGTGACAGGGTGCGTGTAACTCATAGGGCCCTATCATACACCCGGTGCAATGCAATGCAATGCGCAAGTGTTTTCTTTGCTAGTTTCAGCCCGATGCAGTTGTCATTTTCACATCCTGCGCCACGTTGTTTAAACCGTGCACACCAAGCGGCAACCTTCTGGTCTCTCTTGTGAAACCAACGCAGAAGTGATTTAAACTGCAATTCATCGACTGGCCGCTAGAGACTGGCTCCAAAAGGGAGTCAATCCCACAGACCCCCCATGTTAAAATGCCCAACTTTACAGCAGAAAAAATGTGTTTACAAAAAGTGGTTTTGGTCTATATAGCTAATTTTGCCCTTCATGACAACTGTGAGGGGGGTGAATTTTTTTATAACTCATCCGTTTAAATTATATTAAGCCTTAAAATTCTGCATA